GTATAAATTGCCTTGTTAAGTTAATCTTTTAAGGGAACTTGTTAAAATGGATAAGCAAAATAACCGAAAATGGTTGAATACGGCGAAGTGTTTCAAAAGTCTTAAAGAAAATATTTCTCATTAAAGTCTAAAATCACTTAAAAGGGTTTTATGTCTTTATTTCTATGATTTTCGTAGAAATAACGCGTTAAATATTTAAAGACCAATTCTATAAAGAMTTCCGCAACATGAAATGTGCATCGCCGTTTTCTTCGTTTAAGTCCTCTCAATCCAGATGAATATGATTGACTCATATTTGGTATATGTTGTTTGCGAACTATTATCGAGTAAGTACATATTCTACTTTATTAGGGTAGCTGAAGGTTTTATTTGCAATATTCCCATCCTATACCACTTAATTAGCTTTTTGACTTTGAAACTTCAGCAGTTTTGCTGTTCAATTGATTATTGTGACATCTATAACTATTTTTTTGTCGTTGTTTTATCATAATTCAGTTCACTAACTTGGTAGCTAAATAAACTAGGAGCTACATTCTTTTATTAATGTAACTAAATGTGTTAGGAAAAAATCGTGCTATTTTTCTTAGTATTTTTCTTTTTTCGCTATATTTTTTTTTCAAGATTTGCTCGGCAGAGTGCTAGAATTCTTGTTATTTTTAGCCATAGTTATACGGTAGTATGTTTCAGCTTATGAATATATCTGAGCTCAAAACGTGATTTAGTTGACGGAACCTATCGATTGGCGAGGATTAATGGCTGTCCATTTGTGATTGAGAGGAATTACTCCAGTCTACAAGGCAGTAATGGAATACTTTCAATTCAGTCTTATCGCTATAAGTGCAAATAGGCAAATTGCACTACTAACGATAACAAATTAAATGAAAGGAACAAATTGAAGAATTTAGCACGGATATCCGTCAATCTCCAAAGGGCTAACTATAACATAATTACCATAAATTAAAGGGCTTTTCTCGTGAGAGTTGAACAGATATTTCCCACTTTTTATCACGTCATACGATAAGACATATGGGTAGCATTTAAGGCAGTTATTGATGAATTGTGGTAGATTTGTGTTGACGCTTAAACTGAGCACTAGGAGAAAATCTCTCGCTAGATTCAAGATCGTTCAATGGTAATGTATATTTAGTTGTATAATGGTATAGCAGAAGAAAGGTACAATAAGACAGTGAAGTAGGTTAGTCACTTTAATACTGAGTTTCTTTGTTTTCTTTTGCGTCTGTTTGACTTGAAAGAAGGTACTAAACCACTGACATTGATTTTCACTACTATTGAGTCTCGTTGCAAATGCCGAATCTCACAATAGAAGAACAACTATACATTGCAATTGCGAGTTGCTCCATTAAGACCACTGTTTTTTTATCAGTGTAGTGTGCTTTCAAATCCCAGATTCGCCTCAGACTCTGACTATATTTTACTTTGAATTAAAATTAAACGCAATGCGAATGTACCGAGTGTCTTCCTTACCAGGTCAATCTACGAATCTAGTAAAACTAAAGCAAACTTGATTACATCTTTATTTTCCCGTCAGATTTAACAATTTGTTAAACTAAAAAAAGCAAAGAAAGTCTCTCGATAAGCAATGTGGGATGGCTTAAGGAAATACTGTAGAGCATGCGCGATGAGTACAAATTCAATGAAAGCTGTCTACGAATTTCGTTGAAAAACATATGGAATATCTGGCAATAGCTATAGTATGAGGGTTGGACTTTAGGTGTAGGTTATTGGGTAATTAAGGGACTAGCGCTTTGGCCTTTGAGGATAAGTAAACAAAATGTAATCTTTGTTCTCCGAATCAGTGAATTTGATTAACAAATAATAGAAAAAAATGAGTTTTTATTGAATCCTGATCCTTAGCCAATTATTATACTATAGCGACGACATTTCTGTTATGGCCTTCTGCTTAGGTCATAAATACCAATCCCCTACGATGAGAACCTAATTAGTAGCGAACAGTACTAGCATTTTAATGAAAAACAGTAACCAAAAAACTCTTAATGACTTTCATAACACTGGGATGTCAACTTATTTGTTTAAGAGGAAATTTCCATTGGCCTGTTGGCCTGGTAACAGATTTTTTTATGATTTTAACTCCAATGTGTCAACTTTGTTTACCCATGGTTCTTATTATATTTACATTGCATCTGATAAGCCTTATGGTAAAGAAAAATCGATAAACTAGCAACGGATTTCATGGCTTGTCTAATAGCAGGGTTAATAGAAGAGACAGCCCCCTCATCTCACTCCTGTAATTACTGTTGATGGGTGGTGAACGGAACGCCTTCCGAGTTGAAAATTGATGTCGCTCGTTGAAAAACAGTTTATTGTGCATCGGCCTGCAGGCGTTGTTTTGGCAGTACTTAAATTATATTTGCTGCAGGTGAACAAAGATTCTATCTGCCAAAAAAATGCGTTTCTACGACAGTTGTTATAACGAGCAGAGAATATGGAAAGTGAATTCACCGAGTTCTGCATACCAAATACTGATCTGATTGACAGAATATATTTGGAAATGTTCCAAAAAATGGAAACTCATTGGTGAATTGTTTCTAGAGAGGAATTCCCCAAATGATTAATAAACTTTGTTTGGAGGGAAACGTGTAGTAAGCCTTTAGCGTATAAGGATTGCCAGGTCTCGAGAACTTAAAAACAACAACTATACTGTCACTCATGATACTTAGAACATGTTTTATAATTGAAGCAAGGCTTTTTTACATTGTATTTTTTCACAAAGTGAGTGTTTTTACAGAGAAACTGTCTGATTTTAATCTGAAAGGAAATTGTGCGGACTTTATTTTTTACACATTTAGTAGTTTATCAGACTTGACATACCGGTAGGGGGTTCAAAATATCGTTTGGCACAAACTTAATTAAAACGATCCTAACTATTTTGAAATTATTTTGAGCCCGAGAATTAATTAAAAGAGAAGTATTTAAAGAAAACAATTAAGTACTGTTTAAATTGTTGAAGAAATTGGCTTCAGGGCAAACCATGGTTTATATTCTTACGGTCAAAATAAATTTCAAATGCCATATTTACTTCAAAGAGTCCCGTAGCTTAACATATTGAATTATAAGACAAGCCTAATTGGATCAACGCCTTCGCGGAGGGGACAAAATACATTTATTCTTTTGTTCACATTAAATAAAGTAGCATCTAAAAGTCATTGTGTTGACCTGCCAGTTGTAATATTCATGGAATATCGTCCATTTATATCCTTATATTGACTTATTACTCCATCTATTGTGTTATATAAGCATAAATTATAACATCAAGTTTACTTGGTTTTATCGACGGAACTTTGATATAGAATTGTATAGTACCTAAGGTGTTAGTATTTAATCAAGTAACAACAAGAAATTCAACCGGGAGATTAGGAACCGTGTCTCCGCATTGTAACCGCTCTGAAGTCGTACGCATTCACTTTTCTCCCATTTCAATTTCATTCCTTCTCATCGAAGATGAAAATGCTTCTACGCAACAAGTAACAGTAGCAAAGTAATTTTATTATAATTTATTCCACATATCTTTTACTTTGAATAAATGGGAAAGAAAGATTTATACAATCTAGATACGTTAAATGAAGATAAATTGCCGGGTTTTTTAAAAGTCAAAGTGAAATTAAGAAGCACTAAAGTAGAGTTCTATTTATTTAAATCTCATTGTTTTCGCTAGCTTTTCCATTCTATTTATTTTTCTTGTCGCCTTTTCAGTTATAAATAAAAGAGTGTCTATTCGTTTCTGAAAGGCTGAAAAACAGTATGAATTGACGCGTTTGATTTTTTCAGTCTCAGCTAGTGAAATCAAGAACCCTTGAAAGATGGCTTTGACTGACATTAGCATGATAATTCGTGCCTCAGTCCCTACTGCGACTCTTGCAAAATACATGAGCAATTTCACGTATTTTCTAAGGCATTAACATAAATTCAATTTAGGCAGCGAAATATACTTGCTTTAACTATAATAGTAATATCGGCTATGCAGAGAAGATAGTTGATTAAAATGACGAGCTAGCAATAAGCGAAATGTCACCTGTTCAAACGGTCGATTAAGTAACCGTGTTGTACTGTTTGCCTTTAAAAATATCCAATATAATACTTTTAAAAACTCCCAAAATGTTTGAGGATCTCCGGGCAAATATGTATTCTATGTACTGTCAGACTAGTTAAACATATGATACCTTACTCACAAAATAGTCAAAGTACGCCAAGTGCATTTTCGATTTCAAGACAGTTTCTTGTCATGAATGGACGAATGGCAGCTCTCGAGTGATTGCATATATATAGGGCATAAGACTAAACCCAAATCACTTTTCGGTTATCCCGCGTATTTGCCTGCTTGCTGGGACTAGAGTAGGGAAAATGTCAGTTAAACCTGTTTAAAATATGAGATAATAAAGATGTTCACTTTTTTAGCCAACTGTTTATAAAAACGAGAGTTTTGCTGTTTGACAATCGTCAAATTGTTAGTTTGAAAGGTGTTTGTATGAGGGAATAGTACTTCACTTTTTCACCCATCTTTTATGCAACAACATAGGATTTGTGCTTTGAAAAGTACATCGGTGGAACAACATAAAAAAATCTTCTTAAAGAATTATCGTAAATCCGATCGATTATAACTATTGATTTCAATGAAAAAACATCGTGTTAAGCCAAGATGAAAGGATTTGTTATAGTGGTCCTTTAAACAGCATGTTTTTTACCCCCAAGTATAGCAATAAATCAAGTAAGCATTACAATAACAAACCAACGTTCAAATATAGTTAAAATAAAATCTAGTCGGTGTATTCACCGATAGAAACTTCTCTTTGTCCTTTAAGGGTTTTAATAAATATAGGAAACACGGCCTTAATCACGATTATGAATATTTATAAGGTTTTGTGTCTATTTATCAAGACCAAATGAAAAAGGCTGGCTGCATTCGCGTCATTGTCAACCAACCAGTAATCACTGAAGTATTGACATTTTTGTTTGGTTTTCAGAAGCAGAAAGCGTTGAAGAAAACATTGAAGAAGCAAGCTAAGAAACTCGCTACAGTATTTTAGTCCATTTTGCGGAAGCAAGGACATTTCTGAAAGAATCTGTTTTCGAGAATGTTATGAGTTGTTGTTGGAGATACAGAAACATTTGATAAGGTGGCCCTGCTGATAACGAGAAAATTCGCGTTGGTTAAATTCGTTTTTCCAGGACCAAAAGGAACTGCTCAAAGTAATTCACAGGAAATCGTCCAATCATCTTTATTTCATATACAGAAATTCATTACTTGCTCCGCGTTGTCCAGAATCCGTCACCTTGGAAATAAAGTTCRGGAAGCGGYTAAAACAAGAAGCAACGAAAAAACCGTGTCCAGAGATCTCTAGCGCAAATTGAAATCAGCATCAAAATCCACCGCTACAGAAGACCATAACAGAATAAGTTGCCGCTTTAGGACTATATCACAAGTCAGACTGATAAATATTGACAGTAAATATGAATGGTTCTACTGCAAACCAAACGCATCAACCTAACCTCGAGATTTCTTTTATACCCTGGGCGTTTTTTAACGCACTGATAATTGTATTCGGTAGTATTGGGAATGTATTGGTGGTTTTGGCCTACAGGAACCCTCGTATGAAAACAGTCACAAATCTATTTATTGCAAACTTAGCTTTTGCTGATTTAAACGTTGTTCTTATAAATGTTCC